AAAGAGTGAAGGGATAGAAGGGATAGCACTGGGAAATAAGAATGGAAAAGAGAGGCTGGTTAGGGATAGGAAAGATCAGGTCAGACAGCACCCTTATAGGTGTTGCTTTGTAGGCACTACAGGGGTTTTGTATATCACTCTCAGTAAGAAGGTGAGGCACTAGAGGGCTTTTAGAGTTAATTTGACTTGACTTGATGTAGAATTGATGGACATCATTTAGGAGATGAGTAACATGACTCAACTTGTACTATGGTTATCTTGTGGCTTTCTCAACTGGGTTGTGAGCCCTCTGAAAACAGGGGGTATATCTTATTTATCTCTGTAGACACTATAGTTCCTGACACAGACTAGATCTCAGTTGCCAAAATGTCTCCAGTGAACATGTGGTAGAGGTGTGCTTCAGAGTTGCAAAACAATTATTTTGTCTTTTAGGCACTTCAAAAATGTCTATACCCAGTATAAATCAATTCTTAGTAATCCATGGATTGATATTTTCTGTTGGGATAATCTTCTCATTTTTCTTCTTCTGCCCTTTGTACTGGCTATGAGAGTCATTACCTTTTTTATTTTTCCACATAGGCTGGAAACAAAATTACAAAACTGCTTTTTCTGGCATCATTAGAGTGCCATTTGTGTCTATCAGTCATGAGTCTGACTATTCTATAGATTCTATTGCAGATAAAAATGAAAGAAGGGCCTCTTGAGGCTAGTTTAAGTTGTAATATTGCTGAACAATGACAATCTTACAATAGTTAACTTTTATAGATTCTCCTAACTTGATGAATCTAATTTCCTCTGTGTTTGTTTGGACACAGATGTAACAAAATAGATTGTCCAGAATTAGAGAAGTTGTTCAAGAGAACCTTACTTGAAGTCCAAAACTATCAGCAAAGATGACTACAGGCAAAGATGTAATGTAGATTAGAAATTAATAAAGCATAGTCTGTTTTAAAGCCTTTCCTTCAGTCTGGAGACAGAAGACAAGGTCAAATGGATGTCTCTGGATCAATAGACCAAGAAAGATCTATCTCTACATGAGCAGCACATTTTAATGAATTGCTTCAAGTCTAGTGTCTTTCCACATTTAATGTGTACATGAATCTCTTAGGGATTTGTAAAAATGCAGCTTCTGATTCAGTAGATTTAGGTCTGGCTCTGAGCCTTGGCACTCATAACATGTTCTCAGATGATGCTGATAATGGTCTAGAAGTTTTCATTCTAAGAGTCAAAATGCTAGTGGACAATGTCTTAATTGGATAGAACATTAGTTAACTTTGTGTTGCAAATATAGATTACATGCCCATTTGACGTTGTTAAACAATGTATGAGGAAGAATCGAGGGGAAGTTAACTAATATTCCAAGAGAGATCTATGTGTGATGAAACAGTGTCAGTTGCTTCACATATGCTGTTTTATAGGCTTTCGAAGTGGCACTTTGAGACCCTTGTTTAGATGATGGATTTGAATAAGCAGAAACAAGCATTTTGCTACAACTCTACAAGGTATAATTCCTGAGGGGTCAAAAAGGTGAATAATAAAATGTGTCATTACCCCTTATTAAAGGACATAGTCATGTATTAGAATTACTACCCTTCAACAGAAGGTCTACACAGGTCGAATGGCTTTTCCAATGTAATACAGTTTGTTAACAACATTGCAAAAACTAACATCTATGTCCATGTTGTTCTCCTTCTACAATATTATGCTACTTCATGAGAGTAACATTTTAACCAAGTTTAACAAGAGACATCAGAGGAAATTTTGACATGTTGGCCATGAAAATTATGGATCATTTTAGGAGGTGGTGGTGGAGGGATGTGTGTGTGTGTGTGTATGCGTGCGTGCACACATGTGCATGCGTAAACAGTGGATGTGTGAATGTGTATCATCACCAGGAACTGAAAACATTAGGTCCTAAATGTTCTGAAAATATTTAGGATGGCTAATGAAAAGAAAGTAAAATGGCATAGAATGAGTTACCAATGGACAAAATCAAGGATGAGAGAGTTGACAGTGAAAATAAAACAGAGGAACAATATATTTTAAAAGAATACAAAATATAAAAATTACAGGTGTTTTGTTAATTAGACAGGATAAATTACAGAAAGATGGATGTTTAACAATGATTTCAAGCTTCTGTCTATTCTATGACATCTCTTTTCCTCTTTGGAATAGGCATAGAAATAATTAAAATCACAGGCTTTATGATCAGACAAAACATGGATTTAAACATTAACATCACATATTAACTGCATGACTTTGGCATGTGACTCATTACCTTTAAACCTCCCACAGAATTGATAAGAAATTGATGAGATGATCTATCTAAAATATTGAGTTTAGTTTTTGATTCTATATTGATAGAATATAAAACCTGTGTCTATGAGACAATGGTAGTGTCCTTAGCTGCAAAAGGTCTTCAAGGGTTTTGAAGCTGGTTTTGAAGCACATGAAAAGGCATGAGCAAGGTGTAGAGGCTACCACACAGATGATTGATTAGTGTACGAAGGTTTGTGGAGAGTGCATGAGGATCAGAATTGGGACCCTAGGGTTAGATTTCCAACTGGACCAATACTGACAGATGGTTGAGTTTGAAAGGTATGGTTAAAGATCAGAGGATGAGAAGTATGAACAATGTCAAAGGCAAGCTATGTGTAGTCGTCTTTTGCCTAGAGTTGGCTTCCATATCTATGAAGTATTGACTACTGCATAATAATAAATTAAGGTTGTAGAAGCAAAAACCAGGAATAAAGAAAAAGGGAATATATATAATGTAAAAATCAGGGAAACCCTAAGAAGACCAAGTGAGTAAACAGAATGAGGAAGACTCAGAGACTTCACATAGACCAAACCTGGAAACACAGAGTCCAGGAAAAACATGTGAAAAATCAAATACAGTGGAGGAAATGGAGCAAAAAATAATTGTCTAATTGTAAGAGACAACTATCAAATCCAGGAAACTCATAAGAACTAAAGATCATAAAAACTGGTAGAGAAACAAATATGAAGCACCAGTAACAGACTCTGATACTTAATATATCTGACATCCAACCAACCAGAAGAGTCTCTCTTCAGGTGTCATCCTGGAAGGGACTGATCCCAAGACAGATGACCTAAGTGGAAGGCTCTAGGCCAGGATAAGCAGAAACATCTGCCTGCTTGCAATAAAGGGACCCAGGCAGTCATATTTCTCTGGCAGAGATTATCCTACTATCCAAAGTGTTCCTGGATTTCTTCTTCCTGCTTTCATCTTTCTACATAGTGATACCAAACTTAGCCCCTAAGGTACCATGTTGGTTTTAGAGCCTTTTAGCATCTGAGTCCTGGAGTTCCATTTATTTTCTGCCTCACAAGGGAATAGAAGAGAAGGAGAAGGTGCAGGAATAGGAGAAAGAGAAGAAATGAAGCAGGAAGTCAAATGAAAAAGAGAAGTGTGGACAACTTAGGATCATGGCCCAGATGTCAGGCATCTCTGTAATTACAGGTGACTATAAAAATCAGGAACTGCCTGGACTTTGTTCTTATGTGGCACTTAATGGAGGAATATTGCTCTCATGTGTTTACTCTTATGTGTATTCTCCATCTCTCATGTGTATACTCTATGGCATGATTTCATGCACAATTGGATGTTACTCGTTCATTTTTCCCCTTGAGAAAAATCAGAGTTTCTTAAGTGGGAGATATTTCTTAGTCTGGGGAAGTCAGAGACTTGTCTCAAACTGTATTTCCCTAGTTGTCATATACATGAACGATAACTGGAAAAATATCTGTTGAAGAAAGTATTGCAGAGTGACATTTATTCAAGACTCAAAATATATCAAGTGCTTTGTAGAGCAGAGAGATAGATGTAGTCCCTTAAGGCTTAACGTGTGAGTATCAGCATGGATTGAAAAGAGCTAATTTACAATTTTCCGAAAGGAAATGGGGTTGAGAAGACTGATTGCAGCAAAATGGTTAAACAGAAAGAACATCACAGCTTTTTATTAAATTACTGTTTGTGATGTTTTTACAAACATCAATTTTTTGTGTGATACTTTACAGGGTAACAGGATTTTGGTGTTTGGGAAACATCATTTTGAAATTACCCCAAGCTAGAGTTCTCCCCCCATCTCTCTCTCTTTGTCAAATTGACATTGGATACAAGCTTAAGAATCTTGAGTGATGTTTTAGCTAAAACTCTTCCATTGCAAGTTACAAAAGTAATGTTGGGTTAAAAAAAAAGTTGGGGGGAGAATCTAGTGTAAAAGAAAAAAAAGTCTTAAAGAACCTCAGGACAGGAAATCCATGTAAACTCCAGAATGTCTGGGGACTCAATTCTGGAAAGCCCTCAGGTGTCTCTCTCCTCCATGCACTTTGTCTTCTTGCTCTCACAATATCTGCTTTTTAGGTCATGTTAAGGCTTCCCTGTAGCTTCTACATGACATTGCTTAATTTCAGTCCCCCACAGTTTCTGCAGAGCAGTTTAAATCCCTATTTCAGGTTATTGGAAGAGACAATCTAATTGCCACCCACCCTCCACTCTTTTAGGTCAGAAAGCCACCCCACTTCATAATATGAATATGGCATCTGGGGGTCCAGCTTTGGAGATTTTGGGACATGTAGGGTAGGCTCTTTCTAGAAAAAGAAAGTTGTCATGGGCTTGGTGGATATACCAAAGTCATCTATGCTATTGCACCCAGAATGCTGCCTGACACAGAGAAGACTCTCAACAAATATATAGCAAATGAAGCATTTGTTGACAATATGCCCCTGCAAGGGTAGAACGTGTTTGCATTTCGAATGTTACAATGGTGGACTGATGGCTGTTATAGTTAAGTTTTAAATAAACACATTAGCTAAAATGATTTGACTTCAGGCTGTTTTTATGCATTTATGAGGTCATTTTAGAATTTAAAAAAGTATAATTTTTTGTGAGAACAGCATTGAATGGCTTAACAAGACACATATTTATTCATTTTAATAGTGGTTTTTTTTTTAACATTTATTTGACATCCATGAAGACTAAGCCTGGAGTAATTCGCCCAGTACCTGTAAAATCCAGAATATTACTGAAGAAAGAGGAGGAAGTCTATGAACCCAACCCTTTCAGTAAATACTTGGAAGATAACAGTGACCTCTTTTCTGAACAGGTGAGTACACACAAGAGAAAATGTTTGCTATTTTGATAAATAAGTATATAAAATATAGATGTCTCTATGAATATAGTATGTGTAAGAAAGTGTTCATTTGATTGGCATGTATTTGGTAATAAAAAGATGCTTGTTTGGGGTCCAAAGTGGCTCCCGCCGGAGGTCATGGCGCTCGCGAAGGCGAGGTCATCAGTTCAAGGCTAACCTGAGCAACCTCATAAGCTCAAACTGATTGGCAAAAAAAAAAAAAAAAAAAAAAAATGCTTGTTTAATAAATATAAATTCTTAAATAATTCAATAATAATATTTTGAAGCATTTCAATGTGATTTTTTCTAAAACTTGTCTACCTAGTGCTGGTATTGTTTTGGGCATCAAGATGTTACCCTCTGAAAAGACATCATGAAATCACTGATTAGATGGATCATATAGGTATTGCATTCTTGTTTCTAAAATCCTGCCTCCAGTGGGTATACTGGCTCATGTTTGTAATTCCAGCACTTTGGGAAGCCAAGGCAGGAGTGTTGCTTGACCCCAGGAGTTTGAGACCAGCCTGGGCAACACGGTAGAACCCCATCTCTACAACAAATTAAAAAAAAAAATTAGCTGGGTGTGGTGGCTTGTGCCTGTTTTCCCAGCTACTTGGCAGGCTGAAGTGGGAGAATGTTTGAGCCCAGGAGATGGAGGCTCCAGTGAGCAAGTGTTCATGCCACTGTACTCTAGCCTGTACAACAGAGAAAGACTCTGTCTCAAAAAATAAAATAAAATCATGCTTCCTTTTGAAGAGATGAAATATTTTAGATTTGGTATATTAAAGTTGACAAAAGCCCTGTTTAGTTTCACATTAACATTGAGGTGATGCTGTCTCCCAGATTGGGCAGTACTAAGTACTAGTAACATAGATGGGGCTCAAGTCATCATGAGGATTTGTTATTCATTTTGTTTATGTTTGAAAAATCTATACTACATTCCCCTTAAATATTTTATATTTGAAGGAGGTATAACGGAGAATTGTCAATGATGCTTTATATTTGTGAAAAATATGAAAATACACATTTATATAATATAAAACTGCTTAATGAATAGCAGAGACTTTAAATCTTTATTTATCTTATTAAAATATAGCAAATAGTATAAGCTATATATTTTATTGGGAGATTGATATATTATGAAACTAATAAATAAAAAACTTTCTGAATATAGTGAGGACATGTAAGATCATCATATTTTATAATCCACAATAAAATATATTTATAAAGGAATATAAGGTGATATGTGCTTTTAAAATTTTAGTTTAAAAATGGTAACTAATAATATTGAAAATATAAATTACATTTGTATTTAAAACGTTAAGAATTTCTTATCTGACACGTTAGCTCTGTGACCCTGGGCAAGTGGTTTCATCTATCTAAACTTCAGTTTCTTAATGCATAAAATGAGGTGTTCAGTTTATGTACATTTTAAGGATCCCTTAAACTCTAAAATTTGCATTACTTAAAATCTATGGTTAACTCTAATTGGGTTTGAAATTCCTCTGTAACTTTGAAAAAGTTCATTACAAATACTTTTTATGATTATTTCTAGTTTTTATTTACAAAATTCAGATTAAAATTTTTTCTATTGATTTATATATACATTGTGAGAAAGCTATGATTTTGGTAAGTCTAATTTTTTTTTGAGACAGTCTTGCTCTGTCATCAGGCGCCAGGCTGGAATGCCGTGGCGCGATCTCAGCTCACTGTAACTTCCGCCTCCCAGGTTCAAGCAGTTCTCCTGCCTCAGCCTCCTGAGTAGCTGGGACAACAGGCGTGCACCACCACGCCCAGCTAATTTTTGTATTTTTAGTAGAGTTGGGGTTTCACTATGTTGGCCAGGATGGTCTTCATCTCTTGACCTCATGATCCCCCTGCCTTGGCCTCCCAAAGTGCTGGGATTACAGGCATGAGCCACCATGCCCAGCCAAGTCTGAATTTTTTAGAACGCATTGATATGATCAAAAATGATAAGTAGAGGCAATTATTTCTATTTTGTAGAATAAAATAGTCCTCCAATTAAATAGGGAAATCTTGTTAATATATAAGATTGCCTTCACTAATTCCACACAGAACATAAATGGAAACTCCTTGGGGAAAGCATTTTTCTATCATTGACAAAAGCATTTATGAAATATCTGTTGCTTACATGACAATAATATGTTAGCAGCTTTTAATATAAAGTTTTAGACAGTATAGGATAATTATAAAATGTTTATAAAATAATTTAATACTTATATGAAAATCAAACCACCAACAGTTAAATTTCAAATATTATCCATGTAACATACATTGTTAACAATATGATCCAATGCTTGGAAATAACTTTATTCTTCTGTGTGAGTATAATTTTAAATTTGTGCATTTTACTTCAAGCAAGACACCTTACAGAATATCAAGTTAATCTACCTGTAATTTACAACATATACTGTCTACTTTAGAAAATGATAAATTCCATTTTCAAGTGCAGGAAATTCTTGTCATTAAAAATAATTGCCATTTCTTTTCATTGCTTTTTCTGACTATAAAGTAAGTTTAAAGCTCTTTTCACGTTACAACATAAATCTCTTTATTTCCAAATACTAGACTGAAAATTTGACCTATTTTGCAAATCTCGTTACCACAGACCTAATCTTATTTATGTTTTTTTTTTCCAACCAATTTATCCTTGTTTGTATCCCCATTTGAATGTGGAACCTGAGAAGTAATAGCAGACAATGCACTGTCAGAATTGAAAGAAGCCTAGCATACCACTTAAAAGTGAATTCCAGGGGTCCCCTGGTCTTATTCATTTACCTGGCATGAAAGGGAAAGTTATGATAGAACCTTGGCACTACTGAACATCTGGGAAATGGCATGTACTATCAACTGGCCTTTTTATGTTGAGCTTTAACTATCATCTTGTTGTGTTCAGAATCTACAATGGAGGCAGATACCAAAACAGCTTTCAAGGGTAGATGCTTACTTCTACTTAAAAAATAAATTGAGGCCAAGTGCGATGGCTCATGCCTGTAATCCCAGCACTTTGGGAAGCCGAGGCAAGGGGATCATGAGGACAGTAGATCGAGACCATCCTGGCCAACATGGTGAAGCCCTGTCTCTATTAAAATACAAAATATTAGCTGGGCATGGTGGTGAGTGCCTGTAATTCCAGCTACTCTGGAGGCTAAGGCAGGGGAAACACTTGAACCAGGAAGGTGGAGATTGCAGTGAGTGGAGATCGGGCCACTGTACTCCAGCCTGGTGACAGAGTGAGACAGTCTAAAAAATAAAATAATAAAAATTAATTGTCTGGGCACGGTGGCTCACACCTGTAATCCCAGCACTTTGGGAGGCCAAGGTGGGTGGATCACAAGGTCAAGAGATCGAGACCATCCTGGTCAACATGGTGAAACCCCATCTCTACTAAAAATACAAAAAATTAGCTGGGCATGGTGGCTTGTGCCTGTAATCCCAGCTACTCAGGAGGCTGAGGCAGGAGAATTGCCTGAACCCAGGAGGCGGAGGTTGTGGTGAGCTGAGATTGCGCCATTGCACTCCAGCCTGGGTAACAAGAGTGAAACTCCATCTCAAAAAAAAAAATAATAATTAATTAATTAAATTTATAATCTCATCATTACTACTTCATCAGAACCTCAGTACAAGAAAGTATACCCAAATTCAGTTCTAGTCACTATTGTCTTCTCTTACACTGCTGCCACAGAATAAATTGAATGGTTCTAAAGTCAGTTGATCTCACCCACCCATGTAATGGAAAATTTTTAGCCAGACAGTTGGGCCAAATGGAAGCAGCTCACATTCACTAATCTGCCTTGTACTGGGGACAGTTCCACATGACAGGAGATGTTGGATGGGATTGTTAAGTCAATAAATTTTTCCTAGCAGCTTCACTGCCATAAAATATGATTTCAAAACTCTGTTACAAAATGTCAGACACTAAAGATGATAATAAGACTAGACAGAGGTGTATTTACTGTAGTTCAAAAAAGTGCAGCTGGACAGCCTTTTGACCTGATTATTAGCTGAAAATTTGCTTGGAAACAGTCACTAAGTACAAACAGCCAAGTTTGAAACCAAATGCATAATCAAGTAAATGAAACTTACTGGCCAGCAACTTTTACATGAAAGTTGTATAGGCCAGAAAGCATCATTGTATATTAGATGGGTTTTTTTTTTTTTAAAAAAAAAAAGAAAAACAAAACTCTTCAAAATGAAGATTATGCTCTTCTGAAATTATGTTCATTCATTCTTAATTAATGATTAATCTTTATTCATTATTCAGTTAATTGATTATTGTGTCAATTTGTGGTGTTTTTGAGTTATTACAAAATGTCCTCACACTTTGTCATAAATGTATGGATATAAAAACTATGGTATGTGTTTAAAGGCATATTTTTATTGATAATTAAAAGTAGAGTTGGAAAAAATTAGCACAATTGATTGGACTAATGGGCATCCGGAAGGCATAGAAGCTCAAAAAAGCAATTCACTGATGAGAATTAAGATACTAAAGAGCTGAATGGTATTTAGTTTATTCTGACTATTTATGAGTTTGCAAAATACATTGATTGTTTTCTGATCATTTAATATGTGTAATTAAAGAGGATTTCATTGAAGATTTTCGGTTTAATATAAAAAGGTAATAATTCACCTCATTTACATAATGTGCTATGTAAAAATCCTGTCTCTTTCTTTATAAATTAATAATGCAATTCACAGTATTAGATATACTGTTACTTTCTTAAAGCTCTAAGGAAATCTATAAAAATTATGTTAGGTAGAATTAAAGGGAGAATATTATTTCATCTGATTTTCCCAGAAATATAATCCTTTTTTTTTGTTTGTTTATAAGAAATAACACTTCCCAGCGTGTATGCCTCTTATTTTTCTTCTCCTTTGTTTAAATGGGACAGAGAACATATTTTGCATGAAGATGACCATTTAGAGAATTTCCTCCATGCTACCTCACAGAGAACATAAAAGGGTAATTACAGGGAATTTTCCTTATTGGGGTATTTCATTCCTGCTTTTCTTCTGAGTCTTTTTTTAGACATCTGACTTGCCTCTCTTCCCTACCAAAATGACTATATTTGACATTCAACCGTGATGATTATGTCAGTGACTTTCAGGTTTCTATCTAATGATTCATCAGGTTACATTTCAACTGTGACCTTCAACTTCCCTTCTTTATGTCAACTACATGTTAATATTACCGAGCAAATACCTTTGTCATAGGTGAAACTTGTCAGTACTGTCATACAGCCTTTTACTCTCTCTGAAAAACTCTGGCTTTGCCACAAATTAACTCTTTTTCAACATTTGTTTCTCAATCAAGGTGGCCCATCTGTCATAAAATCATCTTTTATCATTGCTAACATTTTATTTTATTTATTTTTTTATTATTATTTGTCCTTTTTTAAGAATTATCTCACTCAAAATAGCAATAGTGCCGAGGTTGAACATTTTATTAATGAATATTTTGTGGTAAAATGTTTCAATGAACCTTTTTAGGAATAGAAATGACTATGTGGCTTGCTAGATTGTTTTAACAAGAGGAAAACTGCAATTTTTTTTCTCTCTTTTTTTTTTAGGGAGAAAGAGAAAGAAAAAGAGGGAAAAAGAGGAAAAAAGAGGGAAAAAGAGAAAAAGAGGGAAAAAGAAATATTACTTCATTCCTAAAATGGGTATCAATAATGGCCAATCAATATTTTGTATGTTTAAAGTGGATAATATATATTTTGTGTGTTTTAAATGGAGAGCTCTATTGAGTTTATTTGTTCTGGTTCTGAGTTCAAGTCCTGGATATCGTTATCAATTTTCTGTCTCGTTGAATCTAAATCTCATTATGGGTCTTATGTATCTGGGTGTTAAGATCTCTTATTATTACATTAATCCTTTTACCCTTGTATCCTTGTAGCTTTGAAATCTATTTTATTAATTGTGAGAATTGCAACTCCTGCTTTTTATTTATTTGTTTTTGCTCTCCATTTGGTTGGTAAGTTTTTTTTCCAACCCTTTATTTTGAGTCTTTGTATATCTTTAGATATACCGTTAGATTTTGTCTCTATCTTTTGATTGGGGGATTTAGTCGATTTAAATTTAGGGTTACTGCCATTTGATATTAACTGGCTATTTTATCCTTTCATTGATGTAAATTCTTCTTTATGTTCATGCTCTTTACTTTTTGGTGTATTTTTAGAAAGGCTCATACTGGTTGTTCCTTTCTATGTATAATGCCTCTTTTAGAAGTTCTTGTAAAGCAGGCCTGGTGGTAGTAAAATCTCTAAGTACTTGCTTGTTCCTGAGAGATTTTATTTTTCCTTCAGTTGTAAAGCTTAAATTGGCAGGATATGAAATTCTGGGCTGAAAGTTCTGTTCTTTAAGGATATTGAATATTGGCCCCCACTCTCTTCTAGCTTACAGGGTTTCCGCTGAGAGATCTGCTGTAAGCCTAATAGGCTTCCCTTTATGGGTAACCTGATCTTTCCCTCTGGCTGCCCTTCATATTTTCTCCTTCGTTTCGATCCTGGTGAATCTAACGATTATGTGCCTTGGGGTTGGTCTTCTTGAGGAATATCTTTGTGGTGTTCTCTGTATTGCCTGGGGTTGAATAGTGTCCTGCTTTGCTAAGTTGGGAAAATTTTCCTGGATAATGTCCTGAAAAGTATTTTCCAGCTTGAATTCATTCTCTCCGTCACATTCAGGTACACCGATCAAATGTATATTAGGTCTTTTCACATAGTCCCATATTTCTTGGAGACTTTGCTCATTCCTTTTTATCCTTTTTTCTCTATTCTTGTCTTGTCGTTTTATTTCATTAAGTTGGTCTTCGACCTCTGATATCCTTTCTTCTGCTTGATCCATTCGGCTATTTAAGCTTGTACATATTTCACTAAGTTCTCGTGTTGTATTTTTCAACTCCATAAGTTCATTTGTATTCCTCTCTATATTGTCTATTCTTTTCATCATTTCATCGAACCTTTTTTCAAAGTTCTCAGTTTCTTTACATTGGGTTAGAACAAGTTCCTTTAACTCCCAGAAGTTTCTTATCATCCTCCTTTTAAGCCTACTTCAGATAATGGAACACAGTCCTTTTCCATCAGGGCTTGTTCCGTTGCTGATGGATTCTGATTTCGAGTATACTCGGCCTTCTTAGGCTGTTTTTTTCCCTTCATTGTAGATGAACCGCCTTTCTAATTAGGTTCTGAGACGAGGTCAGATTTATTGATTCCCGGTGCTGGGATCCGAGCAACCCACTGTGGCGGCCTAAACAGCAGCGATAAAACTGATGGTGCTCTTCTGCCCGGGAGTCTCTGGTCTGGCTTCCCTCTTGAGTCCGCAACAAACGGCTCTGACTTCCCGGAGCTCCAAACTCCGGCCAGTAGGGGTAGCAGTCCCGTTTGCTCTGCATGAAGAGCTGCTGCGCCAAGACGCCAGCAAAACCACTGCGGCGGCCACAAGAGTCACGCTGGCGACCCGTGGGGCTCCTCCACTGGGAATCATCTGATCCGTGAGTGACTAAAATTCGTCTAAAAGTGTGGCGTCGTCTCGTTCTCTGAGCTTTCACTGGGAGCTACAATCCCGAGCTGTTAGTGATCGGCCATCTTGGATCTGTCCCTGCAATTTCTTATAGTGTTACATTCCTTTGGGAAGGTTTATGAACAGAGATTTGGCTTCTCTAAGTTTTGCCATGTTGTTTTTGTTTAAGTACTGAAATCCTTGTGATGTTTTCTCTATTTGGCCTTGCTTCCTTCCTTTATATGAAAGATAATAGACAATTTAGTATGAACAAGTTATGCTCTATATGTAATAAATTATCAGCACAATAAATGTTTCTTAGGATATATCTTTTAAAAAATTGTCCTTTTGAGACAATATTTGCCTTTTCCTCCGAAATATAATTAGATAGGTTCATTTCTTCATACTTAGACCTTCCATCACCTCTGCACCCCATTTTTTGACATTTTCTTTCTCTTGATTTTATGTATACATTAAGTTTGGAAAATTGTAACCTATGCTTTAGATTATTCTATTGCATATGTCAGTTGTTAATGGGAATTTATTTTCCATGCCTCTCTTCAGCTGCCTTATATAGGGGTAAAAATCTTAAAGAAATTTTTATTTGCTTTTAAAATAGCAGACACCCAAAGACCTATTTGCCATTTCTCTCATAATTGTCTGAAGGATTACTTGCTTAACAAACAGTTGGTGAAAATGTAGTGTCTGATCATATCCCAATCTACTGGGAAACAATGACATTTTGAAAGTTTTATGCAAATGTGTTCTATGTTTTGTTAACACATGATGTTTTCATGTATATTTTTTCAAGGGAGATTGGCCACTGCCATATTTAGAACTCTCATACAAACCACATTACAGTTTAAAAATAGGTCTTTGTTAAAATATAATTTTTTAATTCTTTATTGGTTTTATCTGAAAAGTATTAAACGACAGCATTTCAAAAGAGAGAGGGGATATCTATGTAAAAGTAATTTGAAATAATATCCAAAATCAATGTTATTCTGAGATTAGAAAGTTAACAATTTGTGTTTGTTGGCTGGGTGCGGTGGCTCATGCCTGTAATCCCAGATCTTTGGGAGGCCGAGGTGGAAGGATTGTTTGAGCCCAGGAGTCTGAGACCAGCCTGGAAATATAGGGAGACCACATCTTTACAAAAATTTAAAACTCAGCCAGTTGTGGTGGCATGCGTTTGTAGTCTCAGCTACTCAGGAGGCTGAGGCAGGAGGATGGCTTGAGCCCAAGAATTTGAGGTGCCAGTGAGCTATAATTGTGCCATTTCACTCCAGCCTGAGCAACAAAACAAGACCTCCATCTCTTAAAAATATTGTTTGTTTGTAAGAAAAAAAGATGCATTAGTATGTATTATTTCATAGGAATCTCTGTCTCAAACCTTCTCAAATTTTGAGTCAAGGTTAGCCTGTGTATAGAACCATAGATGGTAACAATCACATACCTTTGGCATGTGGGTGAGAATCTTAAATACATTTTTATTTGCCAGCATGTACCAAATTGTCTTATAATACATAAGATATTTTTGATCGAGCTAGTGCCACTCTCCAAGGACACTGTCTACAGAAATCCCCTCCCTCCCTCCTTACACAGTTTCAATTCTATAACTGCCTTAACATGTTTTGTATGATAGCTATTAATAAGTATGCTTAGGAAATGCAAAGGTATTGGCTTGTGATTTTCTTTTCTGTACTGTACATTTGTTTTCACTCATAAAACGAGTTCAAGGTAGAATGAATAGAAGAGAATATAATAAAAATTGGGGGTATTCTTTGAATATGAATGCTAAGTTTAATGTGTTTAAACACATTTTACAATTCCTCAACCTTAGAGATATTGGCATATATTTTAAATGTGTATTATAAGCAGATTTTGAATGAGGACAAACCTAAAATATGACAAGATATTTACATTTGAAGGTGAGTTGTATGAAGACAGTTGTCAACCTTCTCTTCCTATGACCCAACATAAAATATCCTAAAATAAGCAATTTAGACAGGAAAAACAATAAATCTTAATGAGAAGAGCAACCAAAAGAAGGCATAGGAGAAGCAAAGAACTAAAGCTGGTAATCAAACTGTGTTGTGAATTCCACTAAAATAAGACAAAAGACAGCTTGTGATGTTTAGCCTGTGGAGAACAGAATCAAGTGAGTGACGCAAATCATCTGAATAAATGTATTGAAAGAAAACTCCAAGATTTAAAAAAAAAGAAATGTATTTTTGTCTATTTCAAAGATTTGATGGAAAGGGAAACTTATACTAATTTTCTTTAAGTTCAAAGTTGGTGATTCTTTAGGTATGAAATTACTGGTAGGTTTTTAGAGTTTTAAAAAATAGTGTTCTAATTTTCAAATGACGTCATCCTAAGTGAAATTTAATCTATTGCAGCTCCGGCTTCCAAATATCAATTTTCTTTATGAACCTCAAGATCTTTAAAAAATTTTTTACCTTACTTTCTCTTAAAAATAAAAAAACTTCCTTTGGTAAGTAAATAAATAGCTTACCAGGAACTGACTTGTCTAATTATTTTTATCTAATAAAGCTGGGAGGTCCGGGTGCAGTGGCTCAGTCCTGTAATCACAGTACTTTGGGAGGCCAAGGTGGGTGGATTACCTGAGGTCAGGAGTTTGGGATTGGCCTGGCCAACATGGTGAAACCTTATCTCTACTAAAAACACAAAAAATTAGCCAGGCATGGTGACAGGCACCTGTAATCCCAGGTACTGGGGAGGCTGAGGCAGGAGAATCGCTTGAACCCTGCAGGAGGAGGTTGCAGTGAACCGAGATCACGCCATTGCACGCCAACCTGAGCAACAGAATGAGAGTCCATCTCAAAAAATAAAAATAAAGTGGGGAGGTTAGCATATTTTATCTGCAAAAGTAAAGCAAATATATATGATGTTTATTATGTCGGGTTAAGTTCAGAAAAATAGAGGTTTTTTTTTTTTCTCTCTTAAGCTTAGGTCTCTATGAATTGCGTGCAGTTGAGGACAGGTCCATTGCAGGGCATTGTAGAGTCAAGCTAGTTTAACCTTCCCATGTCAAAAACCATATTCAGGCAGGTTCTGATGACCTGATTCATTTTTTATGTATAATAGAACCAAAGGAAAGCTAGGACAGCTTGGCTTTGCAGAAACAGTTTTGAAGTGTGTA